CTACCAATACAAGTAGGGTCAAATGCTACCAATACAAGTAGGGTCAAATGCTACCAATACAAGTAGGGTCAAATGCTACCAATATAAGTAGGGTCAAATGCTACCAATATAAGTAGAGTCAAATGCTACCAGTATAAGTAGGGTCAAATGCTACCAATATAAGTAGGGTCAAATGCTACCAATACAAGTAGGGTCAAATGCTACCAATATAAGTAGAGTCAAATGCTGCCAATATAAGTAGAGTCAAATGCTACTTTTTCTTTCTTTTTCTGTTCTGTTATCTGTACACTCAACCATATTATGTTTGAAGTTATTAATTCTTCACAGTTAACACAGTGTTGTACTTTCCTGTTTACAGCTGAGATAAACAATTCAATCAGATCACGTTTCAAGTTATTAATTCTTCTCAGTTAACACAGTGTTGTTATTTCCTGTTTATGGGTGGGTTAAATAACTTTTGGACTGTTTCAACAGCCACATGCCAGCTTTGTAATGTTTTTTGTATGGTACTATTGAAGGAATAGGTCAACTGACACAAATATGACATCCTGTTTATCCAATCTTCAGTCACCGCAGTTCCTAGCCACTGTTGTACAGTGGCAGATGTTTATAAATCTGTTGAATTTGAAGGGATATACAAAGAGATCATTCATTGTGTGTGTGTCATCAAAGTCATAGGGATGAGTTGAGGTGTGGCGTTTTGTAGTTAGGTTATGATATGGAATCAGGATGAACTGGTATGGACATGATGTTCAATGAGGATAACTTGTAGATTATCTAGGATGTACTAACTGGTATGGATATAATGTTCAATGAGGATAACTTGTATATTATCTAGGATGTACTAACTGGTATGGACATGATGTTCAATGAGGATAACTTGTAGATTATCTAGGATGTACTAACTGGTATGGGCATGATGTTCAATGAGGATAATTTATAGGTTATCTAGGATGTACTAACTGGTATGGACATGATGTTCAATGAGGATAACTTGTAGATTATCTAGGATGTACTAACTGGTATGGACATGATGTTCAATGAGGATAACTTGTAGATTATCTAGGATGTACTAACTGGTATGGACATGATGTTCAATGAGGATAATTTATAGATTATCTTGGATGTACTAACTGGTATGGACATGATGTTCAATGAGGATAATTTATAGATTATCTAGGATGTACCATGCTGTTCTAATCTGAAGAGGTAAGGATGAATGGCATGAACATGAGGTTTACTTGATGTTCAGTAATGATATTTTACAAGATAAATATAAGTTGTTAATTTAAAAAGGGAAATAGGGATCATCAAAAAAAGTACAGAAACAAGTTGAATCAAAATGCAAATATTATATTTTCAAGCCTACAAGCTTTAGTAAAACACCAGATTTTTTTCAACATCGGAAAGCGAAGGAGTTGAAGAAATTTTTAAGGTAGAAAAAACGAAGATGCTTGAATTAAACTTAAAACTACCCTATGACATACTCAATACTGCATTCATTACTATTGTCCAGGTTTCAATAAAATATTCGTAGCCATTTTTTCTGTAGTGGCTTGTAAAACTGTCATCAATAATAATAAGGCTGGAGACACTGTTATAAATATACACATTGTTTACTCTAATAAAATGAAGCATTTCTGACTAGTATAAAATGGAGAATTTCTTACTAGTATAATGGTGCGTAAATGGCTTTGAAGAGCTTATGTTGGAAGAGAAGAAGAACTTAGAAAATTTAGAGGGTGGAAATCTCAACTTTAAAAAATTAACTTAAAAATAGCCCTGACAACCTTTGCAGGAGTTTGTTTAGAAGTTGTGCTTAGATTTTGGCACAGTATACCTAGCCATTTTTACTGTATGCTTCAATGGCTTTAATGAGAAACTTGGCCAGTAGTGATGAAAAAATTGATAAAATCTCTACTTCTCTTTCAAGAATCAACATAAAAATAGTCCTATGACCTGTGTAGGAGTTTTTTAGTAGGTTTGCCTAAGTTTGATTAAAATATTCCTCGCCATTTTTTCTGTAGGCTTGTGAAACAAGAATAATATGAATAATAATAATAATATGAAGAACAAATAGATGAATTTTGTCTAACAATTGGAAAATCAACGTTTTTGCTATTATCAATATTTTAGCAGCCTCAGCCATTGAGATAGAATATCCTGAGTGTTGTTTTAAGAACAAATCAGTTTTTTAAGATGGTTTTTGCCTGTATGTTCTATTAGAAGTTTTGTGAAATTCCTGGGCAAACCCTATTATGAACCACTGTCATGGTTCATGATAGACTATTTGAACCTTATGACATTCTGTAGGATGTAGTTAATAAGAATGTGATTTCAAGTTAAGGATGAACTGGCATGAAAGTATAGTTCACTTAATGTTATTTGTTGACAGTTCTTGCCTTATCCAGATTTTGTTTTAAGAAATTTTTTAAGCATAGTGGTGTGCAATGAAGAACTATTAATTTTATATATAAATTTTAGAATATGTGTAGTTAAGTGATTTGAATTGTAAACTATGTAGAAACCCATTAGCATTTCATGGTACTTGTTTTTGGATCAGATATTTTATGTCCTTTCCAACTTCATATTGAACAGTAGCTGCTCTGGTTTCGTTTTTTTTTAGTGAACTTAGAATTATTAGCTTCAAAATATTCAAGAAATGTTTGTAAATAATATATGTCTTATTTATTTCTACTGAGCTTGAAGGCAAGATAATGTGTTGTTAAAGATGATATTCTAAGATATTTTCCTGTTCTAGGGGGCTATTTGTCACTCATGGCCTTAGCTCAGAGACCTGACATATTTAAGGTAAATATTGACTTTGTTACATAAATTTTCAGATTTTGCTGAACTGGACAGCTTGAATAATGAAGGGAAAACCATTTGGATTTTGAACAAGTAAAAACTGACCACTAGAATATTTAGAAGTTCACCATGTTAAAGGTTTGAAAGAATGGAGTAACTCGTCAAAGATCTGTTGCTGGGTGTGGCCTAGTTGTTAGAATCTGAGGGTTTATAGTTCGTATTGCATTGCCTCAAAACTACACTTTGGGAGAGAAAGATTGATGGTCAAATCCCAGCATCAAGACACACAGTTGTGTGTAGTGTGGCTAAAGCAACCTGTAGTACACAATATGTGTTAATAACAGGAGTGATAGTGTAGCAATTTTCCACTTTCTGTAGCTTGGACTGTGGTAATCCAAACTGATATATTTTCCATCGATGTGCTCCATTGGACCTTTAATTCACATACCAAATTTCAAGGCAATTCATTAAGAAATACATGAGATATAAAATCTCCAATTTTGATTGAAGTTTTTCCTTTTTTTTGCTTTATTTGATAGTAAAACATTCCTAACTTTTATGTATTTTTTTCAAATTTGCTACACTGATAGATCTTTACAACCTACAATTAGGTGGCTAATTTAGTCTAAATATATGTCACAAGTGCAAAGTTATTCAACAAAAACCACTAAAATTTGACAAAATATTTGTGGGTGCCTATGAAAAAAAGTCATGAACTATTGGTCTAAATATTTACTACAGCTTCACCTAAGAGTAAAAGTGGACTGTTTTTTGTCCTTTGGATAAAAGACGGCTGAGTTGGAGTACCAAAACTATAGGTTGAAAGCACGTGCAGATACATAAGTAGTGGTTAGGCCAAGTAAACTAGATTAGCAGTTTCTAGCTCAAGTTTTCAAAAGTATCATACGGGTGGACGGTTATTGTTGATTATTCATTGCCAACTTTTCAGCACAAACTTGCTAAATTTTATGAAATTCTCCTAATTAAAGAGCCTTTAGTGTCGTGTGATATTAGCTTAAGCAATTAGCATAGATAATGATGCTTGATATGGCTGTATTGTGTGCATACAGGTGATGACAAGAAACTCTTAATCTAGATTCCATGGTATTACTATAAAGAAAGTTATTAACACTGTTTTAAACCTATCTGCCTTGGGCATCATTTACTGTGCATGTCACAAGATTTTAGTGGCTTACATTCAAAATTTTATTAAACTACTTTTTTGTTTATGTTGTACCAATTAGTATGGCATAAAATCGTAGCTAATTATCCATATCTTAATAATATATATATGTTTATAAGGCAATATTTTAAAAAATCCCGAATTTCCCCTAGTGTGAGAAACATGACAAGTTTTCTGTAGGCATCCCATCTTCTCTATTTTATTCACCACCCCTCTAATAAACACGAAAGTCAACGTAAATTACTCACTATAATATCGTCATTGCTCAGACAAACCATACTTTTTACATCTTTCAATTTTGTTTGGTTACAGAGCCATCAAATAGAAAATCAGACCCTTCTTGCCACACCTAACTGTCACATCCTCTCTTTCAGGATTTGTTAATAGTTCTCTCTTACATTTAATTCTATGTTATCTATAACCAATAGAAAGCCAAGGTTTTCATCTATCAAATGATGTATTATATTAAATTTTGTTCTGAACAGAGAATAGTCATTTTCTCTTTTACTACGAGCTTTGTTTTCACGGAAAAGTTAACGACTAGCTTGGATGAATTTGTAACGGCTCTTGTCGCATAGTTAGAAAGGAGGAATAATTGTGATAGTTAGAGGAAATTGTCTGCTTTTGGCAGGTTATTATTCTATGTTCTTTGGTGCATTATTTAATTAGATTATTTTGTGCATTACAACTATTAGTATTATAAAAAAGTAGGGTTAAGTGTCATCGACAGTCGACAGCAAAAAAAAAGAAGACAGTGTAAGTACTTTATTTCTTGTTTTTTTATGTTTATTCTTTATTTATTATTATAAAAATAACTAAAATGTAAAAATAGGGATCTCCTTAGGTTAGTTAAGTTTATATTAGGTAAAATAAATAATAATAACAATATAATAAAATATTTCACTTGGCAAGGAGCAGCTCATTCTCCAAGTGATTTACAACTTATGGCACGAATAGTAGTTAGACATGGTTCAAAGTGCAATGAAACAATAAAATTTAATTATAAATAGATGTATACTGTTACTAGTTTAAAGCTACTTAGAATAAACGAATGTAGTTTCATGTTACATTTGAAGTCAATCTAGAAAGAAAAAGAGGGTAATTTATATATATATTTTTTTGGTATTTATGAGGTCGGTCAACTTAACCAACATTGTATAGAGTTAGGGTAGAGAAAATAACAGATAAGATCTAAAGTTTTACCGAAAACAAACATTTGAAGTGTATTTAGGAGGTTTTAGAGACTGCACAAATGAAATTTGAGATTTTTGAGATGAAGAAAAGTATTTCTAATCTTAACAGAAAATCACTTTGCACACAGACTATCAAAACAAATACTCATTATATTCACGGACAAATCTTTTGTTAGTGTATTAAAAATACTTCACTAAAAATATTATTTTTTATATGTGAATGACATATAATGTTAACTGAAAGACTGCCAAATTTCATGAAGATATACACACACTATATTAAAAGTTAATAGTGTCAAATCTATAAAGACTTCGAATGAGTACAAAGAGGTCACATGGTTGGTCAAATTGACAGAGCCCGTATTAAGAGTTATAGAGGAAAAACTACTACCATATATTTTAAAGAATCTGGTTGGTTCTGTAGAGTAAAGGTCTGTTCTGAATGATGAGGTTACAATCCTAAAGCTAATGTTGGTTACTATCGAGTGTCACTTTCTTACTTGCTCTGGTTTGTTGTTGTGTAATGACTAAAAGTCATGATATCTAAAAACAACCACCATCATGCCCAAAGTTGAACAAAAATGCAGCCTGGGTAACTAATGAATGAATATTTTAATTTTAAAATTTTTAATTTCATTCCTTTAAGTTGCATGCTCAATCCTTTTTTTTGGCTGCACCTTTGTTTCACACCTAAAGTGTTTTTGATTAGATTTGGTCATACGAGAGTAGCCCAAGAACAGACAGTGAATGATGTTGACCAGCTGCCTTCCTTCTTATTTGTCAGTTCAGAATTAGTGATGATTATATACAGATAAATTATGTGTAGCTTTGCACCAAAATTCTAAACAAATAAATGATACAAAGATCCTTAGATTTAAAACAGGTCATTCAAGGTTACAGTATGTGTAAAGATGCTTCTTTTGGGTTTTGGTTTTGTTATTTTCTTTTTTACGTTCACTGGGGGAAAACATGGTTGGTGTTTAATTCAGAAATACCAAATATTAATAAAAGTACTTTCTTTTTGGGTGACTGTTTGATATAACTCGGAACTCTTGAAAATTTAGGAAGATATTGGAATATTTTAAGATGCATTGTTTTAGGATCAGTTTTGAGTGAGCATTTTTAGACTGATTTGGAGATATGAATTATTTTGATTTTGTCACGTAGCTAAAATGTGTAAATGTTAAAGCCTACAGAACTTAAAAATGTCATTTATATACAAACGTCCAGTTCATGTGACTAAATGAAGAAAAACAGACTAATTTTGAATGAAATTAAGCTGGCTATATAATGTTGTTGTAATTATAGTCACACATTGAAAATTACCGCACTGTATTACTATATCCAGTGAACACAACTTAATATGCTTTATTTTATTGGAAAATAATGTGATTGTTGTTGTTTTTTTTCTATGACTTGAAGATAGCTATTGCTGGAGCACCAGTAACCTCATGGAGGTTATATGATACAGGTTATACTGAAAGATATATGGATACACCAGAAAATAATCTGAAAGGTTACTCGGAGGGGTCAGTTATGTCTTATGTGGACCAGTTTCCAAATGAGTGAGTATTTCTACTTGACCACCATCCTTCACCACAATTACTTCAGGATACTGCCAGAACACTTTAGAATGTTGACTGAAAAATATTTTCATCAGTGAATAAAAATTTACAATAAAACCATTAACTGTTCACAGCTCATTAGCACATTTTTAGATGATGAACAAGTAAAACCTTTATTTATTAGTAGATGTTTTAAGGCTAACAATTATGAACAAGTAAAACCTTTATTTATTAGTAGATGTTTTAAGGCTAACAATTATGAACAAGTAAAACCTTTATTTATTAGTAGATGTTTTATGGCTAGCAATGATGAACACGTAAAACCTTTATTTATTAGTAGATGTTTTAAGGCTAGCAATGATGAACAAGTAAAACCTTTATTTATTAGTAAATGTTTTAAGGCTAGCAATGATGAACATGTAAAACCTTTATTTATTAGTAGATGTTTTAAGGCTAGCAATGATGAAGAAGTAAAACTTTTTATTTATTAGTAGATGTTTTAAGGCTAACATGATGAACAAGTAAAACCTTTATTTATTAGTAGATGTTTTAAGATTAACAATGATGAACAAGTAAAACCTTTATTTATTAGTAAATGTTTTAAAATTTAATGATGATGAATAATTAAAATCTAACTATTCATTAGGAGTTATTTTAAATATAACATTGATATATGACAAGTAGTTCATAAGTAAATATTTTAAGTGTGATGATGAATGAAAAGTAACATTTTTAATTATGAATGACAAGTAAGATGTTACCAAAGAGATTTTCATACTTCTCTCAGAAAAGAATGATGAGTATTTTTAACTGTTCACTAGTTTCTGAAAATAAATACCTTTCTGTGTTATTAAATGTTACTTAAATATATATAGTTTCATTTTCATATTTAGTAAGAGTAACTTCAGAACTAGCAAGCATCTTTTTTATTTCCAGAGAAAACCATTTACTTATAATTCATGGTCTCATGGATGAAAACGTTCACTTTGCTCACACTACCCAGCTTGTTAGTGCTCTTGTAAAAGCAGGAAAACCTTATCATTTACAGGTGAGTTATGAAACAGGTGACTTTATGTAAGTTACCTAGTTCATTCGTCATCTGTAATCTACTGTTATTCATAAGTTAGTGGGTTCTTTAATGTACAATGAGCTACAGTGAATGGTGGGTTAACTAGTTTTACTTACATCATTCTACAGTTTGTAGTGGGTTAACTAGTGTGTTTATATGCATCATTCTACAGTTTGTAGTGGGTTAACTAGTGTGTTTATATACATCATTCTACAGTTTGTGGTGGGTTAATTGTTTATAGAAAAAATTCTACAGTTTGTGGTGAGTTAACTAGTGTGCTTATATACATCATTCTACAATTTGTTGTGGGTTAACTAGTATGTTTATATACATTATTCTACAGTTTGTAGTGGGTTAACTAGTGTGTTTATATACATCATTCTACAATTTGTAGTGGGTTAACTAGTGTGTTTATGTACATCATTCTACAATTTGTAGTGGGTTAACTAGTGTGCTTATATACATCATTCTACAATTTGTAGTGGGTTAACTAGTGTGTTTATGTACATCATTCTACAATTTGTAGTGGGTTAACTAGTGTGCTTATATACATCATTCTACAGTCTGTGGTGGGTTAACTAGTGTGTTTATATACATCATTCTACAATTTGTAGTGGGTTAACTAGTGTGTTTATATACATCATTCTACAATTTGTAGTGGGTTAACTAGTGTGTTTATGTACATCATTCTACAATTTGTGGTGGGTTAACTAGTGTGCTTATATACATCATTCTACAGTCTGTGGTGGGTTAACTAGTGTGTTTATATACATCATTCTACAGTTTGTGGTGAGTTAATTGCTTATAGAAAACATCCTACAGTCCATGGTGGGTTAACTAGTTGTTTATATTCATCATTCTACAGTTTGTAGTGGGTTAACTAGTGTGTTTATATACATCATTCTACAGTTTGTGGTGGGTTAATTGTTTATAGAAAACATTCTTCTATAGTTAATTATAAGTTCAAGTAGTTTGAAATAACTGAACTTATTTTGTTTTTAATTTTCCTTAAAATAGAGAGATATTATAATTAATATAAGCTACTTTTTGATATGGCCTAACAAATTCACTTGACTTTTTCAGCGTTAGAATTAGTGTGAGCTGCCTGAAGTGGTTCATCTATGTTGAGAATTATTTTTGGTATTAGTGATTTGACTCAAATAGTTTTAGAATTACTGTCTTTATGTATGGAGTGACTCAATTAGTTTAGAATTACTGTCTTTATGTGTGGAGTGACTCAATTAGTTTTAGAATTACTGTCTTTGTGTATGAATCTACTTAACCAATCATGAAATAATTTTTAAGTGTATGAAGTGGCTAATGTGTAATGAATGTGTTAAGATGTTTGTAGTTATCAGTAGTGGTTACTATGTGTGTTGAATGTGTTAAGATGTTTGTTGTTATCAGCAGTGGTTACTATGTGTGTTGAATGTGTTAAGATGTTTGTAGGTACCAGTGGTAGTTACTATCTGTGTTGAATGTGTTAAGGTGTTTGTAGTTATCAGCAGTGGTTACTATGTGTGTTTAATGTGTTAAGATGTTTGTAGGTACCAGTGGTAGTTACTATCTGTGTTGAGATATTTGTAGTTATCAGCAGTGGTTACTATGTGTGTTTAATGTGTTAAGATGTTTGTAGGTACCAGCGGTAGTTACTATCTGTGTTTAATGTGTTAAGGTGTTTGTAGGTACCAGCGGTAGTTACTATCTGTGTTGAGATATTTGTAGGTACCAGCGGTAGTTAATATCTGTGTTGAATGTGTTGAGATATTTGTAGTTATCAGCAGTGGTTACTATCTGTGTTAAGATATTTGTAGGTACCAGCAGTGATTACCCAAACAAGTGTAACCTGTAGCTTTGATTACTTGCGTCAGGCGTTGGATTCTTAAAGAAAATGTTTCTAGTTTGTTACTCTTTTTCCAGGTTTATCCTACAGAGAGACACAGTCTGCGACATCTAGATGCTAGTGAACACTACGAGACAAACTTACTCAGCTTCCTACAGCAGTATTTATGATTTTCAGCTTAAGACACTTAGCTTTGTTCCCAGTGTGTAGTCACTGCAACAAGTTTGCAAATTGGGTAAATTCAACAAAAAGACCCGAGTGTTGAGATTACAGTGTACGGGGCTAATTGGTTGTGCAGGAAGAACAAAATATTGCTAAAATAAACTTTGTTTTTAGTTGTTCTTCCTTAATGCTGGTATATTCTCATTTTGTATTTAAATACAAAATGAACTTTTACTGTAAAAAAAATCAGTTTTAAGGAAGACAAGTCCTAGAATTCTCTGTTGAAGCCTCACCTGAGCTACCGTCACGATTCTTGTTTTGATTATGGAAACCTTGTTTGTACATATGCTTGATAATTCAAAACATTTTATAGCGATTAGTTTGAAATGAATAGATCTGTAGGTTTATTACAGTTTGCTTTTCTATTGGTGTTAGCATACAATGATGTTGTCTCTCAAGAATAAAGTATTTTATCATTCTGGAATAATTTTATTTTATCAGAAACTTATGATCTTTGTTCAACTAATATTTATAATTATTTCAAAAGTAAATGTATAACAGCTGTTATTAAAATATACAAGCTAGGTGTGATTACATTAGTAACTGTGTAGTCTTCCTGAACTGAAACATATTTTAATTAAAAGAGGTTTTCATGAAAACTTAGTTTTCTTTTGTAAACTTGATTTTTGTTGGTTTTTTTTTATGTAAAGGTAGCTTAACAATAGGACTGTAAAATGCCTACATTGAAAGTGTGTAATTTTAATAATGACATCTTGCTTTCCACTACAAAGAGTTTCTTAACCATCTTCTCCTCCAGGACTTAATTTTATATATAATATTAAAAAATGTAATTTGTTTAAACTGCTCCTTGTTGCTTCTCAATAGTCTAGTGTCATTAGGCATTGATGTTTATCCTGTAGATATTGTACTGAAACTAACTGGAATTTCTGTTAAACTTGAACAGAAGAAAATTCCTGTTACTAAGGGATTATAAACCAAAAGCAGAAGAACACAAACATAACCTTAAGAGAAACAAAACCTGACACATAGCCTAAATTGGAAGAAGACATTTATAACATAGTCAGAAGTGGAGAAAATATCTGAAACACTGCCTGAAGTATAAAAAAATAATGTGAAAGAGAATGAGTGTAAATTATCTGAAGGTAGTGTTCAGATTGTTGTTTATTGAAGTTTTTATTTCTTATAAGAGTAACATAACTTTCCCAAGCAAGGTATGGTATCATAGAAATGTCCATTGTAATGAAACTTTATATGTTTTTATTGATATTTCTCGAATGCTGCTTAAAAACCTCGTGTATTTTGTGATCCTTTTATAGGCTTACGAGAGATAATTTTGACATTTTATTATGAAGTCTTTGTAATACACTTGACACTTGAATAAAGCAGTGTGACAGCAAGTTTGCTAGAAGGGGTGTTTTCTCATTTGTTCCAGGACTACTAAGATGTATGTCGTAAACGTTTTCTGTATTTAGTTTTGATTTTTATTGGGCTTGATCAAAGTTTTATGATGTATTTTTCCATCTTTTCTTACTGCAGATTAAAATTATTAATGAGTTGGAAAGTAGTTTCTACAAAACATTAGAAATGTGTTTTAATCCCATTAGATAACAGTTGAATGTGGTGTGTTTTTTTGTCCCACCAAGTATTTCTAGAAAGAAAATCATGATGAGAAACTTAACCAGGAAGGGTGTTTTCTACAATTTAGCTTGAGACAAGTATGCTTATCTTGATATGTTTATGATATAAAACTGATTAGTACAGCAGGAAGTTGAACATTACTGTAACCACTACTGATCATGTGTACAGTAGACATTCATCTCAATTAACTGTAATGAAACATGTAAACTTGAGTATGCTCAGCTAGTCTCTTTGTGCAGCCTTGTTTGTGAATATTTCAGGACAGACCCAAGTGCCAATATTTGTCTTATTTTATAGTGTAAACATTTCGTTTTGTGACTATTGGCTTGGAACTGATTCTAAGTTGGATGTAACTTATAGCAAAAGATTTTTGTTCAAATAAAATCAGTTTAATGCCTAATATATAGCTTTATTCATATCTGTAGAAGTTCTGGTTTTATTGTTTGTAAGATTTTCTAATTTAGTTAAAAAAACAAAACTGGAATCTTAACAAAGGAAACCTCCAGTGTCATACATTATAAATTAAGTTCTTAATCTTCTGTGGATAATAAACATCACATATTATTTATATCTTGGTAACAGTTTATAAATTATTCGTTAATCTCATATTTGCAAACAGTAATTAATTATATGTTCAAGTAAGTTTCCATTGTATGTATGAGAAATTTGTATAGTACAAGGACAAGTTGGTGTCCTTAGAAATGAGAAAAAATATGAACTACTCAAAAGTTATTTACACGCATATCATTGCATCAATAAAGGAAACCCTAAAAAGGTCATCTACCAAAACATGCAAGTTATTAACTGATGTAAATTATTGAAAACTTGCCCGAAGATAGGGTATCTACATTCATGTTATTACAAAGATATAAATTATTGTAAACAGAAAATAAGCCCTAAGATAGGGTATCTACATTCAAGTCATTACAAAGATATAAATTATTGTAAACAGAAAATAAGCCCGAAGATAGGGTATCTACATTCATGTTATTACAAAGATATAAATTGTTGTAAACAGAAAGTAAGCCTGAAGATAAGGTACCTACATTCATGTTATTACAAATATATAAGTTATTGTAAACAGAAAATAAGCCCTAAGATAGGGTATCTACACTCAAGTCATTACAAAGATATACATTATTGTAAACAGAACATTAGCCACATTCAAATAGTTTTTGTAATTATTTAGTTAAGGTAATAGATATGGGTTGGTTACATTGTACGCTTAACTCATGAAAAATAAGATTGGTAACTTTCTTTGGAAATCTTACATTAATTCAGACGTCTGTCATTATAATCTGAGAAAATACGTGAAGGGATCATTGAAACAACTAAGCCTACTTTGTATTTTATGAGTTTGTTGTTTACTTAAAATGATGTACACGATGTTTACCATGGGGGCGTATAATATCTAATTAAATTGCTGTTTTCTAAAGCCTAAGTTGAGGTTGTTCTATTTGTTCATGAACACGTAAGTTATTTATTTTTTTATGAAGTATTGAGAATAAAGCTGAGTAAGATAATCCCAAAACAGCTACTTAGTCTTGTAAGCATTCAGAGGTTATATGAATATCATTTTTCTTAACCCACAAATTACCGAATTTTTATTATATTGTTCACTATTGATGGTGGAATCCATATAATGTATTGTTTGTTGTAACGTGTTCTAGCTTTGGGCGGGCTCCTTTGGATTATTTGGAAAAAAATAAGGTCAAGTCAGTCCGCCTAACGATAACAAATTAATTTATTTCTTCAATAAACGGTTGCTACAGCCACGTTCACTTGTAGGCCTAATTTCAAATGTTTCACCAGAAACTCGGAGACTAACATAAGCCTTACTTAATTTAGATCGATAAACAAACACGTAACTCACCAAGTAACTGAATAGCAGAATAGATGCAATAACATTCGTAACTTTTCTGACATTTAACTGTGTGACTCATCAATGATTACTGTTATTTATATCGCATTCTCATTTCTACATATTACACGAACCTTCTCGATTTTTAACTTTCAGATCCTAACGTCATGCGCTCTATAGCAAACATTGAAACTAGAGGTAACAAAAATGTTGTGTAAATGTTATGGGTGCTACTATAGTATTCGGCCTACCGAGCTGGAGTTGGTCTACGCACGTAGAATATAAAAGGAGGAATCATGAAGACAAAAAAATTTGTATCGTTCTAGTGTTCAAGTAAAGAACTGACAAAACGGGTAAATTCACTGACTTCTTATGTTAAATATATAATGGTTTTTCTTTACACTTTCTATTTCTGGGGTTTATAGTCAACTGATATGACTGAAGACTAGAAGCAGTCGTTTTGTTACGAATTAAATTAATGTTGATTTGTACGACTAAAAAGCTGAAGACTAGTCGTTTTCTTATGAATTAAAAACGGACACTGATTCGTACGACTGAAATCTGACGACCCAAAGCAGTCGTTTTATTGTGAGTTAAATTAACACTGATTGATACGATTAAAATCCAGAAATTACCCCTTTGTTAATAATTAATGCTGACTGATACGACTAAAAACTGTAAACAGTCGCTTGGTTACAATCTGTTTTCTGCAGACGTCCACCTGAGAAGCACCTAATCGCATCAATTCAGCGAGTTTTCCTATACAACCACTAACCTAACCTTTTCACACACGATCTGTTACTACTAGTATTGAAATAATAGTATGTTTATACAAAACTAATCTAGTTCCAACACCGCTAAAATATATAGTTAAAGAGTTTGTTTAATTAAATAAGCAAATTAACTTTTAATTACATGAATGCAAGTGCTTTCTACACTCTCAGTAATTTAACATATATATATAGTGCAATGCATCGGTCATAGACCCCCTTCAGGGAATGATTGAATTACAATTAGGTACGAATATGAAGGAATATTGAGGCCGAACAAAAAGTATTAGGTCGTCAAGAAATTAATGTCGCGTTTTGGAACACTTTCATTAACCACCCTCCAAACACGTACATCACGTATAACAGTTAAACGAACCGCCTAAACGTCTCGTTAGTGTAGCCTATATATTGTATAAAGCTTAGTATACTTTAATCCT